GAATTTCCAACTGCCAAAGGATTTTTTACGTGCACAACAATGCACAGGTGCGTCCGATCTCATTACCCAGAGACCAGGGGGAATTACTCGAAGTCCAAGTCCACGTGACAAAATCCCAGCTCCTACTGGGGATTGAACCCAGAACCTCTAGCGATCGAGGCGAACACCATGCCTCGAGACCCAGCAGCCCCCTGGGGATCAGGAATATGATGCTAGAAGTCTACTTTCATACACCAATCGGCACTTGATAGATAATATAACCAAAATCAAGTCATGAACTTCCTAACACATTGCCCTACACTCAATTTCGACCTGGGAGCCTAAGAGAAATTAATAGTTTTCGTACTTCTTAGGACGTTATTTTTTGTTATTTGAAGCCCCACTCTGGCTTTTGCCAGGGGCCGCAATATAGGCAGCTCATCATTATGGCCAAATGTCTGAACGCGGTTTCTGGGACCTCTCCACGGTGATCCTCATCCGCATGGTGGCACTTTGTGTCATCGGGTGTTTATCGCTTGTGTGATGTCCTGGTGAGGGTAGAAAGTCAGTCAGTCAAAGCGAATTATGGAGAATAATATAAATCCAAGTCTATGCGGATTCAGACCTACGACCTTCTGACAGGGCAGTTTTTTTAGTGAAATCTGACAGTGGCTGACCGCGAATAACGAGTCGTACCGAGTCGTCAAGCTATAAGTTGCTGGACAAAACTCCTAAATCGTGTCGTAAGTCGTTAATTAAGTGAAATAAGTTGCTATGAAAGTAGAGACTATAAAAGAAACGAAGAAATCAATAGAATGCAGGGAACAACACCTGTAATAAGTTTTGTTGAAAAACAAAGGATTATTGGTTTGGCCACCTAGCCAGAATGAAACCAGCGTCACCGGTTTCCAGAGCATACAGCATGAGAATGGAGACATCAAGAGGCAGAGGAAGGCCAGGAAGAATATGAATAGATGGCGTTAACAACTTCCTGAAACTCAACAATATCACCATACAGCAAGCTAACGAGAGCGCACTATCCCGAAACTCGATCACCAGCGGACCTGCGACGCCTAGCAGCATTAAGCAGACAAAGACAATAGACAGATAGAAGTTGGAAAGTAATCTGAATTGCGCGACTAAAGTCCAGCCTCTGGCGCATGCTCTGTTTTTTTCTATGCAGGCCCATAGCAACATCTTCAGAGAAAACATCATAATCAGTTGTCGTTATGCCTAGTGGCACATGAGGCTTCAGAGAGGACTTTCCATGCTTTCCTGTCCTGTGCAATCTTCAATGCAGTTTTCCATGCCAAAGATGCCACACTCAGGTCACCTTCCATCATTCGTCTCCATGTTGTTTTTGGGCGCCCATTTTTTCTCTTTCCCTCTGGTGTCTATGTGAAAGCTGTTTTGGCAGGTATATCATGATTCATTCTCATAACGTGGCCAAGTGATTTCCATCTTCTCTTGCTTATCATACTGTCTAAAGTTTCTTGGTTTGTGACTTGAAGTAGTTTAGTGTTTGAGATTGTATCTGACCAGAAAATTTTGACAATTCTATGTAGACATGTGTGGTGGGAGGTGGGAGCTTGTGTACATCATTTTTAAGCATTCTCCAGCATTCTGCTCCATAAAGAAGAACTGGCAAAAGGATGCTCTTGTAGAGTCGGAGTTTTGTTCCACTGCAGTAACTGTTGGATTTCCAGATTTGCCTCATCCTTCCAAAAGCAGCTCTAGCTTCGTTCAGGCATGACTGTATGTCTTCCTCTGTCCCTCCCAGTAGGGAGACCACACTGCCAAGATATGTGAAATGTTCTACATTTTCAAGTGATTGGTTACTTATGGTCACTGGTTGGTTTGGACTGTTTGTCATGATCTTAGTTTTCTTTGTATTTATTCTCAGTCCCACCATTTCTGCTGTGCTGTTGTGTAGTCTGTTACTTTTCTCTTGTATATGTTCATGTTTATGTGATAGCAGTCCTATATCATCTGCAAAATCAAGGTCGTCAACCATGGGGAATGGAGTCCACTATAGTCATTATGTAATACATGAATATAATTGTTTTCTCCCACAGAGGACATTCTGTCTCAGCTGAACCATTTCGAAACCATTATACCTCAACTAGTCGACCCCCATGGCACATTTATCAGTTATGACGTCACCCATAACAGCGCACTACGTCACTTAAACCTGGAACATCAACGCAACAAACGCTGGGCCGGCCAGGGGTCATCAAAACCGTCTCGAAGCACCAACTTCTTCTTGGATGACACTGACCAGATAGGACGGAGCTCCGTCTTTTATAAGCTGTCTGCTTATGGGCGCGAGTTCCACTTCAACCTAACCCTCAATACTCAGCTACTGACCAAAGACTTTGCCGTGGAGCTATGGGGGAACTCCAATGCTGCCAGAAGTACTGATCAAGTTTGGGATTGTCATTACGTGGGCACTAGCATTCGGGGGGATAATGTGGAAGCTGCCATCAGTAACTGCAACGGGCTGGTAAGTGTCTTTTTTTAACTCAATGTATTATTCTTTCTTAACTCTTGTTTGCTCTTGAATCACTATTTTTAAAACAAAGTAATTATCATTTCAATCATCATCATCATCATCATCATCATCATCATCATCATCAGTATAACAGTTATCATCGCATCATAGCGTTCATACATCACTTTCAAGAAAGAAGCCACATGTGGAACAGAAGATTTTCTCTTGGCACAATGTGTTGCTCAGGTTATTGATTTGTTGTGACACTTTTCTATAAAATTCTGCAAAAATTTTTACCATATTTCTTCATAAACGATGCTCTGTCATGAGTATTGCCACCATCTTTCTATTTAAAAAAAATAAATAATACTCTGTCATAAGTTATGCTGTCTGTCTTCTTCTAAAGGTCTCTGTCACAAGTTTTACCATCTTTTCTTTTCCATAATAATACCCAGTCATAAGTTATGCTGTCTGTCTTCTTCTATAGGTCTCTGTCACAATTTTTGCCATCTTTTCCTTTAAATAATAATACTCAGTCATAAGTTATGCTGCCTGTCTTCTTCTGTAGGTCTCTGTCACAAGTTTTACCATCTTTTCCTTTCCATAATAATACCCAGTCATAAGTTATGCTGCCTGTCTTCTTCTGTAGGTCTCTGTCACAAGTTGTGCCATCTTTTCCTTTCCATAATAATACTTAGTCATAGGTTTTGCTACATTTCTTCTTCCATAGCTCTCTGTCACAAGTTTTGCCATATTCCCTCTACCATAATCATCATCGTCAAGGGCTTTGCCTAATGGCGTGGGCTTTCATGCGTCTCCACAATCTGTGATAAGCAACAGACATGTATCAGTTCGTGTGTTAAATCCCCTTCATTCCAAGACAGATGGCTGTCAAGAATCTTGTTACTTTGTCTTCCTCTGTCTCTCTTTCCGCATATCTTTCCAGTGGTCAATACACGTACCATTTTCTTCTTTTCATTGCACAACCCAGAAATGATGACTGTCTCCTTCTGATGTGTGTGATAACAAGTCTTCAAGCCCTCGCCTCTTTCAAAACATCTAGTTTGCTATTTGTTGGATGTCCAAGGAATTCTAAGTATTCCTTTGTGAAACCACATCTCCCGGTCCTCAAGAAACTGTTTGGCTTGTTCATTAACTGTCCAGGATTCATAACTATGTGTTAAAATGACTCTATATTTCATCTTTATAACAGTCAGTCATAAATGTTGCTACATTCCTTCTTGCATAATACTCTGTCATAAGTTTTGCTACCTTCTTTTTTCCACAATTCTCTGTCATAAATTGTACACTTATTTATCTTCAATACTCTGTCTTAGGTTTTGCTACTGTTCTTTTTCCACAATCAATATTCTGTAGTACGTTTTACCACCTTTTTCTCTCTCCATATTACTGTGTCATAAGTATTACTACCTTCCTTATTTCACAATACTATGCCATATGTGTTGCAGTCTTGTTCTTTTAAGCTACTTTGTCATGAGATATGTCACCTGTTTTTGTTATCCCTTTTTTTCTGTTATGAGTTTTACCACCCTTCCTCTTCCATACTACTCTGTCATAATTAGCTCAGCATTTTATTTTTTCTTTACACATAACACTACCGTCAGTTCTATTGCTTTCTTTGTTCCATGATGTATCATATAATCTTTCTCCGTGTATGGGTTCCGGTACCCTTTTGTAGGGAACGAACGAACAAACTTTATTTTCAAACAAAAACAAGAATAGACCCACTGTCTCCCCCCCCCCCCCAAAAAAAAAAGCATGCTGTAGGTCGACTAATTGAGGGTTTCCATTGAAGTTGGAGTGCATAAGCCTGCCCGGCAAGGGACAACCAGCTGCACACAAATCAGCCAGTAAAACTGATTTACACGCAAAACGCAGGCCCTTCACCAAAGTCCAGGTGGACGTACAACCAGGACTTTTTACCGGAGCTTAAAGCCTGGGAACAAAGAAGAAGAAGAAGAAGAATATAACCTTCTTTCTTCCATACTATCTCGTCATAAGATCTACGGTTCGCCGAAGGGTTAGTAACTCTAGGGTTTCATGCGGGTAAAATGGGTTTAAATCGTCCGCAACGTTGAGGGTATTTTTTTTTTTGTTTCCTGCAAACTTGACCTCCACAGACTGTGACGGTTGCAGTAGCCTGGCGGGCCTAAATCTTTAGGATCAAGGACCCACAACCATAATGCCTACATGGCAAAATTTGTAAATGGGACAGTAGTGATAGCTTATGACAGCCCCAGGTAGTTTTAACTTTATTGTATATTTTAAAGATTGTTTGCATCATACTGAAAATCAGCGAGGCTCGCCTGTGGATCAGGAGGTTGGGGTTTAGGTCCTGGTGGAGCCGAATGACACATCTCTGATTTACCTAGATGGTAGCTGGTTCGTTGTGACAAACGATCTATCAAAACTAAACCGAACACCCACAGAACACAAACATCAATCTTTAATGTAAAGCACAGACTCACAGCAGACAGTTGACGTCGGGAGATGTGGGTACCCTTACCCGAAACGCAGGTCGTGATGGCTTTACAAATCACCATGCACGCCTTCCCGTCCTCATTGATAATATCCAGGTCCACTTATAATCACTAAAGCTCACCTGCGCATCCGAAGGTCATAGGTTCGTGTCCCGGTGAAGTTGAACTTTTTTGTAAAAATGATCTTTGCTCACAGGTCTACCCAGCCTTAATTTGTACCAAGTAAAGATCCAGGAAGAAAAGGCCACCAGCGGATATTGACCACATCACCGACCAAGTGCTGGTTAGTCTATAAACTATAGGTCTAGCCCAGCGGTTTTCAAGCTGTGGGTTGCGACTCCATTAGGGCTAGTAAACCCTTTCACATGGGTCGTATAAGGCCATCGGAAAACATATTTACTGATAACACCAGTTCTTTGTTGGTTTACTGTTCTTCTTTGGCTACCTGTATAGTGTTCATGTTTAGCGACACCTCTTTTGATCTGGGGCTAGATGGCAGCGGCCACTGTTGTGTTTTCTAATCGCCACTAATTGTACATAACTGCAGAAGATGTTCAAAGTGATACAGTTTTTTTAAAAGACCATTTCCCTTGCCTTTATGCCTGCTGGACATATCGGAATATTTTGTATAGACCAATCGAAACTCGGTGGTCAGCATCACGTCGGTCGCCTTTACTTCTCAGAAAATATAAGAACACACCGACTGGCTATTTTTAATTTCTCTAATTAGTTTAAGGTTTTCATCTGTGTTGAGGAGGATGGCTGAGTATACTTTTTTATGATTCCATGGGAGGCTAAGCTAGAATTCTGACCCTTGCGCTTATTCGGCTGCCTTTGAAAAAGCACCCATTTACTGGCTAGGAATTGAACACTATATATGACAAAATCACTGGAATCTGCTGTCCTAAACCTCTTGAGCCGCCCCCCCCCCCTTCTTCCCCTCCCCCACAAACCCATCCGATAATGTGTACCCTTTTCAAAACATAATTTGTTTATAAATTTTATATTATTTCTACAGACACACACGGACACTCACGCACGCACGAACACACAATTATATCTCATCGCGATTCGGCACACAACAACAGCTTTCTTGTTTTTCACCTGCTGTAAACCTCGCGCGGAAAATGTTCTGTTTGACTGTCCACTTTTGGGACTTTCGCTTTGTTCCATAACTTGAGGTTTGGGTGTACGTCAATTTCACAGACGTGGCTTATTTGTATGCCGTCTGCTGGTTTCTCTCATTTGAAGCAGATGCACTCCGAATGTAAAGGAAACACTCCTAAATAGTGCCTGTTACCACATGCTTTTGAGAGGCTTAGAAACACCACAAGTCAATAAAAATGCTAGCGTTGATTCCGGTTCTGCAACGTCCTGTAAAGGATACGCAGCTAACTTTCTTGTATGTTAGGTGGCGATGGGTCTATCCTCCCCACCCACCCCCCCCCCCTTTCCTCCCCCTCAACATGGAGCTTGGGACCGACGCATGAGAATATTACTTTTATTTTAATATTATGCATTTAAATAGACTTGCATTACTTAAGACCTTTCCCATACAAAATGTGTAAAGCAGCTCAACCTTTAACTCTTCCTCCTTCCCGAATGTTCTTTGCGTGACGCCCCTGACTAATGCTTGTAAAAATCAAAACATTAATCTTAAAAATACCACACCCTAAAAGATAGAAAAATTCGAGATGTAAAAAAAACTAGTATTAGGTTAATATTTATGTACATTTCCTCAACCTATGTTTGTTTATCTTGTGACGTTTCTGAACTCAGGTGATTAAAAAAGAAGAAGAAATGCGGACAAGAAATTATCTCACTGGCACATTTTTGGAAACACGTTTTTCTCCCGTAAGCTCATATTAAATATTACAGTTCATTTCGCCGTTCCTCTGTATCTGATTGCTGATAATCGTTGAAAGTTTATGTGGATTCAAGACTTTACTGATTTAGGCAGTGTGAATTTTGCTGACACACAAACTAGAGAAATTACGTTGGTAACTCCGGGGGTCATTAAAGGTAAACCCTCAACATTCCCCGTGTTGGTTCCTGGGTCCTATTGTGAAAGGGAGGGGGGGGGGGAAGTGGAAGGGGGCAGGAGTATAGACCTACTGCTCATAGCAAACGTGTAGTAAAAGTCGACTAATTATAGAAGCTTCTTTCGAAGTCGTAGTGCATCTGCCTGAGGCGAGGAATCAACAGTTTGCATACAAATGAGCCAGCTGTAAAACGTATATGCATACAAAACATAACTTCTGGAACAAGACTTAAGTCCAGATATGGGAAAGCAAATATCCTATTCCGTTGGAGTTTAGAGCCGGTGAAGCAAAGAAGAAGAATAAGGAGAAGAAGAAGGAGATGAAGAAGAAGAAGAAGAAGAAGAAGAAGAAGAAGAAGAAGAAGAAGAAGAAGAAGAAGAAGAAGAAGAAGAAGAAGAAGAAGAAGAAGAAGAAGAAGAAGAAGAAGAAAAAGAAGAAGAAGAAGAAGAAGAAGAAGAAGAAGAAGAAGAAGAATAAGGAGAAGAAG